AACCGATCAATGACTAGCCCAAAGAGAGCAGCTGAAAACCTATGTTCGGAACTCAGAAATACTTCACTAACCAGATCTTTGCACTGCAATATTTGCACGACAGTGGGGAGATTGTAAATTTATTCTGTCAGTCTCATTCACAGATCGGTTATTTTGTTGAGGTCTCACTGAGAATTTGAAGTGACTTTAGAAATCTAGTTTTTTTAAGGTCCGCAACGGTGATTCCCGTTTGCCTACTCCGACATTACGAGGCGTATCTGGAAGTCGTATTCCCATACCTGTCCACAGACGCACATGAAAATCGTCTCCATTTGACTTAGTTCCTTTTTTCTTTGTAATAAATTTCTGCTTGGGCATAAAAGACATTTAAAGTTTTATCAATCCCCGTTATTTTTTTTTCTTTTCTATCGCAATCATTTTCTTTTTTTACCTCGTTAATCTTTTTTCGTTTGTTGAAAAATCGCTTAATCCAAACAGTAGTATCCCGCAGGACTTTTTCTCTTACCAGTGTTTTATCGGGTTGCGTAATAATGTGCCTAGATCTCTTCATATGTCTTGTAGATATATGATTTATTCTATAAATTTTGTTCTCTAACTTTCGATATACAATCCATCCAGACATGATGAAGTTTTGAATTACTGAGCTTCTATTTCCAAGTAGTCCATGCTGAACCATTTCAAATCTTAGTACTGTTGAAAGGAATGAAAAAGGAAAAATTGGATTTTATTTCTAGTGGAACTTTATTCATTCATCACATCATAAAGATTAGGCCGAATACAATTTTGAACAAGTGAAACTTTTCAGGGTGGAGTAAGAGAGGTGGGTTTCATTTTTGACTTTCTATTTGGATCTAGCACAGTAAATTCTCAATATTGGTCCCTTTTTTTTAAAATTTCTGAGCACTTTATGCCTTACTTTTATAAAAACATGACCGTTGTTCGGATCTGATGGAAATCATGATTTATTGTCGTAAAGTTATTTGAATTATTAAAGTTGTATTTGCAAGATAGCAAAAATCACATTGTAAGTGATAATGATGTGTGGTTGATACAAGATCACCAAATTTGTGTCTTTTATACGGGTTCAATTTTCTAGGCATACGTAGGATGTCAGCACAATGAATTAATAAAATAGATCCATTATTATTGGTGGCTTTAAATAAACCAGTTCATTTATCGCCCTATTGACTGGTAAACCTGTTCGTAAAAGAACGTTATCGGCAGATCCATCTGAAAAAGAGAAAATTCCGAATTATTTTGATCATACCAGATTGCTCACTCATTTACTTTTTTTATAATTCCTGAGTTTACAGAAAGAAATCCATTTATTTTTTTTTCGAGATTTCTCATCAAACTTTTAAGATTCTCATCTTTTTATTTTAAAATGTAAGTGTTCATTGTTTATTTAATCCATAAGCATTCTATTAATGTTACTCATCACATAACGATAGCATAATATAAAAAAATGAATGATCTGAATGAGAAATTGAAAAAAAATGAGTGGGAAACTCGAAGAGGGGCGAGAAGAAAAATTTGGACAAATATTGTTTCACCGAATCTGAACTGGTTATTATTCGAGCAAACTCGAATAATTTTGTCGATTTTAGCAATTTAACCATTTTCTTTCCGCTGACTCAAGTAGTTCTCGGATATGTAATATTGGGAATAACTGAAATTAAAATATGCGATGTCATTTATGCTCATAATCATTCTCCTAGTTAACCTGGGAATTCCTCTTGGTAAGTCATTTTCCATTAACCTAATTTCCATTGTACATGAGACTGCACTATACACTATAGGTCATTCAAAAAAAAAAGATGTGAAACGGCGTGATCGCCATCTAAGCAAGAGATGATCTAGAAACTCTACTTTTGCATTTTCATTTTATTTTCTACAAGTTTTAAATCTGTGGGAGGTGTGATGTTAGAGACGATAATGATCTGTGAGGATGGGAGATCAAAAATGCAATGCATGTCAAGAAACTCGAAGAGGGTGAGAAGAAAAACTTGGACATATATTGTTCCACCGAATCTGAACTAGATATAAGCGGCTGTTTTTGCAGATTTTAGCGTGATCGACATATAGTCGCATATCTCAAAGAGACTATGTGCTGGATGATGTGATAGACTTGGTAGTTTTAGTGACTACCCTTATGATTCTTAGGAAATAAAGTTTCCATTTCCTGTAGATTAGATAGTGAGATGAAAGAAATTTGTCAAATTTTCAGTGATATGCCAAATTGATTTGGGTTCATTTTCGTTAGGACAAAATAAGCGTGGTGATCTGAAATTTATTTTCAATCAAGCAGCAAATATTTTGGGATTTGGAGGTGATCGTAAGTTGGATTTAACAATCGGTGAAGGTCGATTTAATACCAAAGGTTGTGCATTAATTACTGAAAATTACACAAAATCTAACTAACTCTCTGATTTTAAAAATGAGTGTATAACTAATATATTTCTTTAGCACAACAGGGAGCCTTGTTTGCCGGAGAAAGGGTTGGTGCTGATTCAAGTATTGGTATTAATGAAGCTGAAGGAGTCGACCTTCAAAACCTTTTAAATGTAAGCTTGATAATGTAAGCTTGGTCAGTTGAAGTGGTTTGCAGCAGGTCCAAATATAAAAGAAAAAATGATCAGTCATTTTTTGAAAAGCGATCATTTTTTTATATTTCTGGAAGCAATTGATATTTTACCATCCATTTTTCAGCCAATTATAACCTTTTGTTGCTTTTAACTTTGCTGAATTCTTTTCTAAAAGAAGTCTCGAAAAATGAGTCAGTAGAATGACATTTTAGGTGCTGTATATGAATGGTTGTATTTCTTTGTTTGCTCCTCCCAGTTTTACGATTTAATTAACAAATATGAGTCTTTGTAGTGCAGTCCTTTTAAGATGGCATGATAGTCCGGGAAATGTTCAGTTACATATACCGAAACTCTGCATTTATGCCACTGACATATTATGGATTTTGGATGTATCATAAAATTCTTGCAGTTTGGCAACAGTCCTATTTCATTCAATAATCCTGCTGGTCAGTTGCTTTCATTTTTGGAAAGGATCAAGAAATTCTTCACTACCACTAGTAGTAGACCATTAGATGTCATACCATCTTCGCAATATGAAAATTCAAATGTCAGAACAGGAGGTTTCTTCCGTAGTTTTGAAGCAGCAGAACAGCGAAGAATTTCTGGAAAGGCGATGAATTATACGCAACCTGAAAATGATGATTACGGCGATTATTATCACAATGCTGAGGTTAGTTTTCAGTATTTCGACATAAGGCTTAATTCCATCCTTGTATTCTTCATTTTTATTTTCTGAAAATCTCAGCTGACTTCCATTAAAGTCAACTTGTTCTCTGCTTTAGATATCAATCTAAATTCCATAAAAAAATACAAGTTGTTTGTAAATAGCAAGCAACAATCAATTCTTTGCCAGCAGGACATCTATTTAGCAAGATTTGGAATTAAATCTGCAAAATAATTGTCATTCACTAAAAGTTATTGCAGGTTGAAGATGAAGCAGATCAAAGAGAGTTTGAAACAACAAGTGGATCTTCTGGAAATATCATACTGAATCGAAATATTGGTGGAATTGAGTTTAATGCTACTGCCATTTAAAATACATTCTACTTTGTTGTGTTTTCCTAATGGGTTTATTTACATATTTATCTAGGCATCAGTTAATAAGTTCAACTGTAAATGATTTCTTTTCAATAATTTATATGTTTGCCTCAGAATATTTCTCTTTTTTCTTAATGAGATTAATAAATTGTTTAAAATCTATTTTTTCTTGCAGACATAATTGCAACCCCTTCTTTGTATCTTTATATGACATATACAAGTAAAGTGATAGAATACATCAAGCACAGTACTCGGTCAGAAAACTTCTTTCCAGATTTATCATGATAAATTCGCTTCCATTAGCATTCGACCATGAGAAATTCTAATTTTCAAGCAGGCTTTAATGTCTTTTTAAATTTACTGATGTCCATTAAATTTCAGAGGAGAAAATCGATTATTTTAATGAATTTCATATGATGAGAGCATCGTTCTTGTTTCTTCAAAAGGAATCGGTAAACGAGAGAGAACGGAGGAAAAAAGGAAGACTGAAAAAGTGACGTTAATTGTGTTCCAGTTGATATTAACATCAATAAAGGGGTCCATGAGATCTGATCTTATAAAGGAAATGAATCTGTACTTTGCTGATCTTAAGCCTTTGATCCCTGACCTCAAGAAGAAACAGGGATAAAATGTCGTTTTATAAATTTTGAACAGGTCATAATCATATTTAGAATGCCACATCAACGAGAATCAGAACTGTATTTTATCAGCATACAGTGACATGAAATAGATGAAGGAAAGGCCAAATAGGAGACCTGAACTTTGCAACACGGTAACAACTATACTTTCGTGATAATTATTGTTGATTAATTCAGTGGTTGCCTCACGCATTTCTGGAATCTGAAACAACAATGCTGATCTAAATTAAAGGGATATAGATTTCTTTGAACAGGAGTATAGATTTCCTAGTGCTTTTCCTCATCTATTTCTACAAAAAAATTTTTTTTAAAAATCCCCCATACCAAATACTTGCTAGCAGTCCCTAAACTTTGACGCAAGAAATCAATGGAGTTTTTATTTGCACTTCACGTGAAAGGTGGAAGAAGATTGGAACACATGGGCTGATTAAGAAACTTATACTGATGAAAAGTTGATAAACATAAGATCGGGATGAGTAGAAAAACAACTCTTATGATTCTTTCATGACACATCAATGTAACACCAGATGCCCCTGCCATCCTGTTCAAGAAATGGCTGATATCTGTTTACATCCACTCTCATATTCCATTTCCACGTCCTTCCAAATTTGAAAGATGAATTTCTTGATGTATCTCGTTGAAATGCGAACTATCGAGAGCTATGAAATATGAGGAAAAATAGCTAAGTGCACGGTCCAGTATGATCAATTATCACGTTAAATGGGAAACTAACCAGAGTGCCCAAGAAAACATAAAGATACATTCCGGATGAAACGGCAAAAACAAATGTATCAGCACTCTCGCTGTAATCATCCAACAGTGCCCCAATGGTGAATCCAAGATAACTCAGACCACCCGGAATTAAATTTAATAGTAATGTTTTCTTGAGACCTAGGCCCGACCGAATCAAGATAGCAAGAGTACCTGAAAATGAACATTTAAAATTGGATAAAATGTAACTTGAAAATTGTTAAATTCAGGCATTAAATGACTGATGAGCTCTATGAAAAAGCTATTTAATGAAAGAGAAGACACAATTGAGTCACTGTCATTTTAAGTATATCAAGACATAAGTAAAACTGTTAAGAACATATCTAATTCTTGTGGGAACTGTTGCGCAATACAAGCAATGCCAATGCTGAGGCCACGGCCTAAAGAATCTGCGAAAGCAACGCCATTACTCATCCCGTCAACGAAATTGTTAGCTGAGGAGCCAAAAAGGACCATATAGGCGATACTGGAGATTTCCAGTGTTTCTGATCGAACTTCCATTTGCTCAACCACAGCTACAGAAACGCTTATTGTATCCCCTTCTGTTACCTTAAAAATTACAGTAGATTTTTTAGCTTCCTCTAGTCTTCAACAAAATATTAAGCTTTCCAAAAACTCTGAGAGACGACAGTTTGGAAATAAGCATGAAATATTTGAGCTTTACCTGATTCATGCGTCTTTGAGAAAATGTTGGAGAAGCGGAATAGATGGTGGCGATCGGTTGTGGTACTTGCAGAGAGTTGTTGTTATCTACATGACTTACTGCATCTTCCACGTGCATAATTACGGGAACTTTTTTACTTGTTGAGAACTAGAAAAATTTTTACAAACTTTACAGTTATGCTGTTTGTTGTTTACAAACTGTTTGCAGTTAATCGGCTATATATGCTTTCTATTCAAAAAAAATATTGCAAAAATCTTGTTCAGAAATTCAATTATCTTTCAGTACTCTATTCATCGAATTGCTAAAATAAATCTCGTGCGATCGTTGCAAATCAAATAGTACCGTTCTGGTAATGGCCGAATTAACTGCAGCGCTTTCGATCTCAGCCTAGAATTCATTTCAATTATTATTATAGAATTTTGTTCTAGAATTTATACAAGAAAATAATTTAGTTTATGGATTGATTAATTTGTGCAATCAAAGTGATATAAATTATCAAATCTTATTCGTAAAACCTTAATTTGCTCAATTTCATCTTTGCTATGAGAATTTCTACGACTTGTTGGTTTGGAAAGTGTTGTCACGAAATCCTTTTTGTTGATTTTGTCGATCTCCATTACTTTCCTTGACTTTCGTCGCTATAATATCACTTTTTATTTGGAATAAAATTTTGAGGAAATGTAATGTGAAAAGAAATTTGGAAGAGTAAAAATTGTCTCCCTGCAAAAGTATTTGTTGATGTTTGCAAACTTGAAAAATTCAAAATTGAAAAGTTGAAAAATGTTGCATTTTGTGATAACTAAGTGGAAGTCTCTGAATAAATTAATAAAGAACTTTTTCAAGTTTTAAGCTAAGTAGAAAAAATAAAAATTAACTCGTTTTATTTCCATTGCGAATTGGAGTATCCTATCAACGGCGAAAAATGAATAGAGTGATCCGAGGACAATCAAGGACTTTACCAATCCTTCTCTTTCTCGTACCTCAAAAGCCTGGAAATACCTATTTATACCTCATCAATTTTTCGACATAATTATTAATTTTAGAAAATTCTGGTAAATTTGGGGTTAAATTATTGTAATTTCGAATAGAAACTTGCATTGGGCAGCATGATAAAAATGACGGAGCCAGAAAGTGCACCAATACCGAGAGCTACCAGAAATGTCATGACACGTTCGTAAAGTTTTTTCTTTAGTAATGGTACAAATAAAATGCATGATGGTGAAGCAAATGTTGCGACCGTTACGATCACCATACCAATACCCCATGCTGTAATTCGATTCACTGCTTATAGTTTAAGATAATTCATGTCTAATCTTAGTTTAATCTTAATTTCTAACCTTTCTAATCTTAGTTTTTATTTATTTCTTACTCTTAATTAAAAGTTACACTAATTTTACTTGTTCTTTACATTGGATGAAATTCAGATTTTGGTATGGGTGACACATATAAATGCATGCAAAGATATCATTTAAATGCATTTTTCCGAGCATCAAGGAAAGCTATGTTAATAGTACGAAACATGAAGTTATATCAAATTGTTATTCTATGCAAATCTAACCGGGAACATTACAAAAACACAATACTTTGCCATGCTTCTGGTTTCAAGACTGGTTGACTGAGCGTAGATGAACTATTTATCAACGGATCCATGGGTGACAGTATTCAGCTACACTTCAATAATAGTTCAAGAGTCTTTCACAAGTCAAAAAGAATTTTTTTCTGGAAATGAACCGACAAAATGAAAGATTAAAGCAACTTGAATATCTATGGTGACGAGAAATGGAAGAAAATTAGACATCACAAATCAAAAACATATTATGGGTTAAAGAATGCATATTACAACTGGTCATTTAAATGGATATTCCATATTTTCAGTTTCATTTTTAGAAAACTGGAGTTTTGGTTCAGTTTGAAATTGTATTAAAAATGTTTTCGGAATCACAGAAATTCTATATAACGAATATTTTTTTTAAACATAAGCTAGAAACAAGGATATCATGAATGGATCATTTAGTGTTTGAAATGGATACTTTCAAATGAGACAAGTAATCGTGGAAGGATTACTGATCATTCAGTAATTTACGGTCAGGAAAAAAAAACTGCACAATAAATGATCAAAAAAGCTCAAGAAGAACTTTCATCTGCTATGTTATTCTCTATTATATTTAAGTCTATTTCGAGTAGAGAGAGAGAGATAATTTTATGTTTAACAATAAGAATTTGATGGGAAATGGACAGACATTACCATCCATGCAATTTCTAACAAATATTTGTAAATTTGTATTTCTATTTAAAAAAAAAAAAAAAAGAAATTACTTAAAGAGTATTGTGTGATCAAAAATACAATCGTATACTTTTGCAAAATTACCGTTGCAAAATTACCGGACACAATAACTTTTGTGAGAAGTGATCAACGATCAAAAGGATTTGCCTTGTGCACAATGTATATGACACACGCTTAAAATAATCTCTTTGATTGTTGGCCTTTTTTCACAAAACTCGCAGAATGCAGAAATTCTCATCGTTTTACGATATATTTATATGAAACATTAATAATTATATTTATATCATATTATATATATACATGTATATAAAACTGCAAAATCCGTTTATTTGCAAAAAAAGCGTATTTGGTAGTTTCATTTTAAATATTTCATTCGTAGACTTCGCATAAACAGATTTTGAAACATTCAGATATCTTTTTTACTCTTGATAATAACTTGACAATATCTGAGAGCAATCTACTTTATTCCGAAGTATTTCATTCAACATGGCAGAATTGGTAAAGATAAGGATGCTATATTCTGCCAGTTCTCTATATGGTCTTCCCTAATGAAAGTTTCTGTATTATGAATGCTGATAGTACGGCTGGACCAATCTAAGTCAATGAGAGAACCATATTTACGTGGAGAATGTTCAGAAAGGACTATTGTAATTAATAGTCGGTAGTTTAATAGACTGATTAGCGTCGTAACTGTAGCGTTAAAGTATAACCGAAATCATAATTAGAAATGGTTAGCAATGACAATGAATTGAAAAAGTAAAATGATACCTCACTCTCAGATTCACAATCTTCGACCGTTTTGATAAGTTAAATATATCATCTTGTTAGTTATATGCCTGAGCAATGCAAATAAATGTTGATTAATTGAATGGTGGTTGTAAAATAAATATTTTGCTTCCACGAAGAAGAAGGGAAAAAGGGAAAGGAGTAACAAAGATCACATTTTATTCCTTCCACCAGTTTAATTGCGATACTCTTGCTGCTTCTCCTTACCTTATTAACATTTTATCCAGAACAAATCGTAGCTTGCAACAGATTTTTTGGAACAAAACGATGAACTGCATAAGAGCAATGACCGATATTTCTACTCTTTCCACGCCAAAAATATTAAGAACCGAATCGTCAGAATGCAAGCTCACTCTGATCCATTTGATCTGAGTTCGTTGCTGATAGGAAAAAATTTTGAACGTAATACTACATATTGAAATGTGAAATAGAGTGTATCATTTCTTCATCAATCAGTATCGAGCATCCGTTAGGCAGCTTTGCTGACAGTACAATACAAACGTACACAACTCACAACTACCTAGTACTCCTTACCTTTATGTTCTGGAAATTAACTGGTACTTTAGACCTTTGACATGGAAATGAAAAATTATTCACTTTGGAGGTGCTGATCCATAAAACGCCATAACCGTCTCTACTCACAGACTGAAGTTCTTTTTGAAAGGGATCATGCGAAAGCGACACTTTTCCAGTTAATAATATCATTAGAAAACCATGCCTCATTTGTCAATATCAAAATGCCTAAATAAAAAGCAAAGCTTTAACTCGTTTAACTGATCGGACAAACCAAACAATAAAGGAAGCGTTAAAATCCAATCCTAATTATGAATGAAACAATTGGATTCTAGACAATTTGTATGAAATTTTTTACAAAGACCAATAGAAATTTTTCAAATACTAATAATTGAAAGCGTCACTAAACTTTTAAAACATATGAAAGCGAAATTCCAACCAAAAGCTGCACCATTACATTAGGGTTCGTTGAATACGTCATATTTCGAGACTTGTGAGCTACATTTGAAGCATGTAACTTTGGAAAAATTTTGTCGACCACTTTGAATCTCACTTCTATTCTATTTTTTTTCACTTCTATTTTCTAAATTTTTTTAACGAACTTCCCATCCAGTTCCCCAATGTTAACAACACGGTGAATTCACAGATTGCTAACTTTCCCCTTATTTAATATTGTTGCCCAAAATCAATGAAACAAATGAACAGGTGAGATCCATGTTTTGAAATTGCAGTAATAAATTGCAAATGTAGATGAAATATCAACAGTGGTGGGAAGATATATAGAAAATACGACTACAAAATCCCTTATAAACAAGATACCTATTTTTTTTAGATTAAAAATAAAATTTGGAATGGATTTGGAAATCATAGGAATATATTTAAAAAAGCAAGTGATTTATAAAGGATTAAAAATTAGTTTGATTATAATAATGGTGAAACAAACGCCTAAGCAAACTTCACAGTTTTTAAAATACGAAAAACAATGCAAGCAGGAAGTCTCCCAAGAAATACCTGTGCCTAGGAAGTCTCAAATGATCTTACATATGCTGCGTAATCAATTATACCCATTTATTCATAAAGAAACGGACATTTCATACACCCTAAAGTAAACGGATTATTTATACACATTTACATGAAATTTCACATAAAGCTAAAATTGATAGAAATCAAAAGAAATTAAAAAAGGATGATTCGCATGACTAGAATAGATGTTAAAATATATTTCAATAAATTTCTAACTCTATATTAACATGACCTTAGCAAAGAAACCGCAAAGTATAGTAATCTTATGCGAATAAAGATGAAGGAATGGATTACATATGATAATCAGTTACATTTTGCACCCAATTTTAGATAGATGATCTTAAAACTTCGCAAGTTCACTTGCGTTTTTTATTTTTGCGACGAAAAGCATCACTGCGGCTACTACCACCATTACCATTCCATCTACAGCTAGCGTAATCTAAAAATCAAAAATCACAATGACTATCATGATGATTTTAATTGCTTATTCCTACGAATAACGAGTCCATCACAGTCCAATTACCACAGCATCATTTCAGCATTCTAATTTGATCCATTTTTCCAATTGGAGCAGATGATCATTAAACTGAACGATTCATGATTAAAAAGACTTTAAAAAAATAAGCGGCAGCATAAGTATCAAGAACTTCATGATATTTGCGAAAAGCCCCTCCCACATGTGAGAGTAGAAAAATATTGGAAATACCTTGACCATCACCTTGACCGTCATCAACCGCTTCACTTCCAATATTTATAATGCCACCTGCTAGCGACAATGGTGGTAAAGCTCCATGTCTTGGTTTTGGCCCAACAACTGATTTTCGCCCGTTGTTTCTTTTGTTGTGATGTAAATGATTTTCTATTATCGCTGACATCGCCCGATCCTTTATCATCTGCGTACCGGCCTAAGCAGAATTCTTTTTTTTCTTATGGTGTTTTTCATTGAAAAACCAAACGAAACAGAGAGATTTTAATTCATAGTCAATAAAAGTACCATTGTCGACGGAAAACATTTATTAAACTTTTTTTATGTTTCAGAACAACTAGAATGAAACGACAACATAAAATGGGAATGAAAAATTTTTATTTTAAACAATGCAAAGTGGTAGAAGCTAAAAGCAAATTTTAATAAATCATACCATAAAGATTGCATTTTGTTCAGACGTCTTTGAAAGGCGATCATTGAATGAATCCCGGATTGCTTCAACAGTTCCATTTGAGACGTCTGAAAAATAAAGTTTACGTTACCAGACTTCCCTTCATGCATTTTTCCAACATTCCATAAAAAATTTTTTAGCCAAAAATATCTAAGAAAGGCGGAAATTTCATGGAGTTCCTTACGGTTACACTTCCTGATCTTCACTATGTATTATTAAAATCCCGGTGGTAGCTCTACGTGAAAAGATAGGGGAATACTCATTGTTTCACGAAAGCACGAATAAAGATAAACAAAATACGATAAAGAACCGGGAAAATATTGTGTTTACGAAGCGAACATAGACATGAGAAAAAATGCAGCTCATGCCAAAAGCCTAAAACAAAGCTAGTTTTTATTTGCCATATGAATGATTTGGAGAGAACAAAATCTGATTGGCAGACTGAAGAAAATTTGGTTAATAAAACACAAAGAAATGAAGTATTGTAATTTATACCATTTTTTACTTATCTTTTGACATCAAAAATGGTGTTAGCAATGAGACAGCTTGCTAATAAAAAAATGATGTGATCTCACCGAATTTTAGTTTCAGCTGTAAGTTCGAGTTACTACAAAAATAAAATTAAAAGTTAAAAATGTTAAAAATTAAGGCAAAAGAGAAAATGAATAACGGTTAGTAATAGTTGAAAACTGAACATGCATCAAATCAACATCATGCATACAAACAGATATATGTAAAATTCGGAAACTGCACTTTTGCGTAAATGCTTGAGGTTAATTGTATCTATAATATGACGGGCCTCTAATATCTCATCAATAGAGGGCATCCGATCTGGTAGAAAGCAAAAGAGGTAATAGTCCTCATGAATTCCGAAGAAGTAATAGTCCTATTATTTGTACTCAAAATAATAAACCAAATATAAGTTCGGCAGCAGTAAAGCAAGATCATTTTTTCAAAAAATGAGGTGAGAATGCATAAAAAATCAGTTGAAGTCTTATTATATAGGAAAATTCCAATTAAAAATAAATTAAGTGTATTAACTAAATCCACAAAACTTCCAAAATACAGATAAAAACTAAATAGATTTGAAGAAATCATCTTGAAAATTTGAAAAGAACTTGGAAACACCACGCGAAAGTACATACCGATCATTTTCTTTGTTTCGCATCCAATGTTTGAAATGGTGGATGTTCGTGGAGTTGAACAATCATTCATCTCTACTGAAGCTAACTCGTGATCAGAATCAGAAACAACACAAAACTTCTCGAAAAACTGCTTGTTGTTTGCTGTTTTCTCCTTTGCACCCTGATCCTGTAATGAAATACGTATCACAATGCTTACTTAAGTAGTTGATTTTTATCTTACTTAAGTTGATTTTTATGGATATCACCATCTTACTTAAGTTGATTTTTATGGATATCACCATATTTTCTTTGCTGAAATCACTACCTATAGTCAAAAATATATACTTCGTCTCTACAACACATATAAAAAGTATATTGGAACCCAATTTCGAAATCACAAACTGTATTAACATTCTTCAACAAACAATAGCTGAAAATATTGCATTGAACATTACACTGTCACATTTATTTAGTATTTTAATAATTTAAATTTAACATATTAAGAATTCAACAATAATTTTGGATTCTTAATTTCGACATTTGCATTCTAAAGTGCCTCACCAATAAAGCTTTGCTGATAATTTCATCAAAGGCCAAACCAAGTTTCATTCTTCCCATTTCAATGTGGAAATTAGTCAACTGGACCAACAATATTTTCAAATAAGAGGGCAGCTGCAATGAGTGCATCAAATTTAGTGAAGTTTGATTTAACTTTATATATTTGACAGATTCCAATAAACTTTAAATTTCGCTGGAAATTAGCAAATAAAATTGAACTCATATTTCACTGAAAATATTAACGAACTCCAATAACATGATTTGCGAGAATAACCGCTGCAAAATAAAGTTGGATCAGTTCTGTTTCAACACGTATTTCGCGACTTATATTTATATCACTTGGAATTAGCCTTGGCTCTCTGCAACAAAAAAAAAAAATCGCACTAGCAAACGTTGTTCTTCTTACAAAACAAACTTGTTCGAAAAGTATGTCTCTGAATGGCTTAACAGTAGTATTTTCACTTTACATTAACATCTTCATGATAGTATTCAGAACTTCAACTTCATTTACTTGATTTCAACTTTGTGCTTTATATAGCTTCTGCGCAAATCGATCATTTCCTTCTGCATGTGATCCTTTGCAAGTTCACAAAATAATTTCAACAGTTTTACTGCCACCTGGAAGTTAAGTAAACAATACTGTTATTTAAAACAGCAATGAGTTAGATTGGCAAAATGAAGGTTTTGAAATCTGACAGCAAGCAAACAAAAAATGGAATGGTTCATTCATGAAACGCTCGAATTCAACCAACCACTTTATATCTTCGAAATACAGCTTAACATGAAGCAGAAGTGTTACGGTCATTTAGAAGAAAATGGTAAAGAAGAACGTTCATTAACGTCGCAATAAGAGTCTTTCTCTGCAAATGAATTGTTGAGACCTACTTGATTTTCGAGTTCCAAAACACTAAACGGCACTGCAGTCAAATCTCCCATATTTTTCTTATCATAATGTACTGCACAAATAACGGCTTCTTGAATTAATAGTAATGGTTCGATCAGTCGAAGTCCTAAAGTAAATATCCAAAATTTTGTTTCGGAGATTAAAAAAACTGTTAAGACATATAATACGGAAATCTGTAAATATTACAATATTTACAGGTTTCTGTATTATACGCCTTAACAGATATGCTTTTATTTAAATGAAATTTCAATTTTGTAGATAGTACCAGTTTTAATTCACAAACGCTTCAGCAAATAAATCAGAAGTTTATTCAAAAAACGTTTGAAGCAATCATGCGGAAAACTGAAACTGTTACGAACTCGAATTATGAGCTCAACAGTTCAGATATATTCCAAAAATTCATCTAAATCTAGACAATGAATAACGAACCGTAAAATGAACTTTCTGAAATCTCTGTAAGGAGAGGTATTATTTGACGAGATAGATCGATCTGATTAACGATTACTCTAATGACTTCTACTAGACCATTGATTTTGTTATTCGGAAAGTTGTTGTGGTCTCGGATGACATCAACAAATGCACCCGAAACGTCGTGTCCAGCAATATTTACTGATGTAGAAAACCCTGAAAACGATTCTCGTTTTAACCAGGTAACAGTAGATGCTAAATCTGAGTATATTTAAGCTGGTATTTATCTGACGAAGCATATTTCTGTAGGGATCCATGATGGGAGCGAAATTCACAACAGAACAAAATCCCTTACCACGTTTCATTATATTCAAAGCCAGCTCAGAATGAATAGCTGCCAACTCAAAAAGTTTCCGCAGGAAACCGCGACCAGAAATATCGTCATCATCTATACCAGTTTTTACCGCTTTGAATGTTTGCCTATTTTCTTCATTCAAGGCTTCGTAAAGCAGCAACGGGATCTGAATTTCGAAACTTTTATCACTTAAAAAAACCTTACACTGTAAACATCCCGTCGTTTCAGCAACTAACACATCTGTTTCTGACTTTCAATTTCATTCATCAAACTTGGCAAATTACGGTTCAAAAAAAAATTCTGGAAATCTTTTCGCTAGAGCTTGAAGGGCAGTTCGAGATTTTCCAGCGTAGCAGTTTAAAATTTATTTCAGATGATAGCTTTAAAAATTGCTAACAAAGTAAACATTAAAACCAAACATAATATACCACTAACCTCCCTCTTATAAGATGCAAGGCATTTGTAAAACCAAGAAGCTACAGCATATCTATAAGCCCATAACGACTTATCAAAGCATGTGAGCAAACTATTAAATGCATCTCTCTCAATAATCAGACCATCTTCTAAAATAAATAATAGTTCTGACAGAAAATAAAAGGAAAACCACATAAAAATTTGCAGTTGCAAATTTGTTATTAAAAGTCATAACCTCTAACTTTGAACAGTAAAATTATCTTAACAAATACACTTCAAAGCATACCTTCAAGTCGTTCACCCAATAACCGCAAGAAATCTTGGCAAGAACCGACAAGTGCATGATCGTCAAAGTCTTTATTTTCATTTATTATTTCTAGCAAAATCAAAATCAACTGCAGGATGGAGACTCCAGAACTGTTTTTGACTGCAACTTCACCTTGACCCAATTTTATGCCTAAAAATTAAAAAAATTATCAACTTTTTTTTTTGAAAAAATTTTTGCCGTCGAGGAATAACAACTGATGGTACTGAAACAGTAAAGCTAACCAAGCACGACTGCTTTAAACGACCATCTCTAAAATTAGTCTAGTTAAAAAAAATCATAGAAATATCAAGTACTTGTTAATCACTATTTTTTCTTCCGCTCTGTAGCATGAATTTTCAAGTTTGGAGATAATTTGGAAATGATAAAAGAATTTAGAAACATCAGAGGCATTGAGATGATATTTTCTTACCCTGTTCAGCTTTCCAGATTATCGGAGTACGTCGTGCACCAATAGATGTTAATAATTTCTTTCCAATTTCTACTGCAATTTCTTGGTAAAACACTCGTTTTAGTGTCGGCAGAACAAGATGATTTAGAATAACAGAACCATCTACAAGGGCAAAATCAACAATGCAATCAGAAGGTGCAGTAAAAGCTTCCGAACCATCAATTCCTTCATTTTCTGTAAAAAAATTTGAATAATGGTGATTTCGTTCTTTTTTGATTTTTACTATACAAGAATAAAGTAAGAAATCTGGAAATAACTGAAACTACTCGTTTATATCCAGTGCGGCTTCAGCACACTGGCAAACACTGATACCAATCTGGATAGTTAAAATTCAACTGGCTTAGAAATAAGGATGACCTGTTTCGTTCTTCCCATCCTTCAATAATGCATGACGTTCACGACACAGTGCAACACATATGTAAACGAAATTTCGACGTTTTGCACCACATTGTATAGATGACCGTTCAACAGTCAAAATATGTCTTAAATCAAGAAAAACGATGAGATGCGCTTCAGAAGCTATTTTTGAGATTCTAAAGCGACAGCAAGTAACTTTTCATCATTGAATTATTTCAATTGCTTGAGATACTTAAACCTTAGAGCGAAAAATCTGCCATTAACAAGCTGCAAATTACCTCAAAGCAAGCATCAAAATTGGTGTTTTGCGCTTAGTAGTACTGTCCTCATCGAACACTGCTTCCAGTTCAATGTCACAGTATGTCGGTAGTTTACGCAAAATCTTGAAAGAGCTGATAATTGAATATAAACAGATGAATTATCTTAAATTTTGAAATTAAGAATTAGAAACGTGCAACTCACTCTGATAAGATTTGGTACCATTAAAATATTCTCCAAACACTGCAGAAATAG